TATATATATATATATAAATCCATTCTACGTTGAAAATTCATTTTTTTCTAGTTTTTCATACTTCAAAAACCTTGAAAAAATTACTAAACAAAATATACAAAAAAAAAACAATTTCTTTTTCTTGTCAATGGTGTAATATAAATATTTTCATATTTGTTAAGCCTTACACGATCAAATAGATAGGTTTTTCTATGTGTAAATGACTTGTGAATCTAACTCAACTTGTAAAGAGTAATATTACTAAATCAAACCTTTTGTTAATGTATACTCTAACAAAATAAATTTTGATGGTGATTTACTTGATTTTAGTTTTCAAAATTGATTATTTTTTCTTGATTTGTTATCTTGTGATCCTAATTGTAATAGTTTTATTACAAAAACTTTTGGTATTGAGCATGGTCTTTGATACAACATTCAACATTTGTTGCTCTAGATTCTTATGCATCAAAAGTTTCAGAGCATAGAAGGAAAACTCAACAATATAACTTTTGGAGGGTGCAACAACCAACTTTGAACCATTATTATAAATGTATTGAAGGAGGGTCCACAAATAAAGAATGCAATAAAAAATATGTTGTGAAGGCGACCCCTAGACCATCTTCCAATTTTGAACCTCATGCTTTTGATCCCAAAAATATTTTTGACTCTGTAAAGTATTTCTTGACTGCCTTCTACAAGCTTTCCATTCCACAAGCAATTTTTACTCGAGTAAGTTTTATTCTTCTTAGTAGTATTCTCAAAAATAATCCTTAAATATTATGGTCAATACTTAATTTGGTTCATTTGTATGAACCACATTTTTGGATAATAGCATAATATCCATAATGTTTTAAATTTTAATTTATTTTTTTTGCTAGACATTAAGCACAATTTCCGCGTCTCTCCTTGCGGTAGAGAAATTATCAGATATATCTCCACTATTTTTTATTGGTGTGTTACAGGTGAGACTCCAAATATGTTGTTTCTTTTCAAGTAGCTAATTATAACCTACAATTGACTTGATTGTTCTTCGAGACAATTGATCCTCCTAGAAGAACCCTAACATGGAGCTCTTAGCTTCTATTGTATCAATTATGTTCTCGCTTATGGTCTCTTTTTTGCTCTTCCCTTTTTCTCCTATGAAATATCAACTCAAACTTTCTCTCAAAATTCCAACAATGTCCCCATTTGCATGTATTTGTCAACCATTCACCTTTACTCGTCCATGTGAGTAATCTTTTGCATATAAAAGAAGATAACTGGAGGTGTTTGAAAATGATAGAGTGAATAGTATTTTATAAAACAAGTGCATACAATTCAAAGGTTTATAAAACAAGTAACACTAAAAAATTAACACGTAAAAAGAAAAACAAAGTTCACATAAGAAAAAATAATCAAGCCATGAAAGAATTCAAAAACAAAGAGAAAGCAAAATTATATATTGTAATCAATTAAGTTAAGGTAACCAATTACATGTTATTGGTTTTTCCAAAGAAAAGTATAAAAACAATGTTTTAACCGATTAAATTGAATTAATCAATTTCAATGTGTTTCACACGGTTTCTGGAAAACAAAATCCATAGGTTGTAATATTACATAATGGGATAATTGATTACATTAGAGATAAGGTGTTTTATGAGAAAGGTTTTTAAATATATGTAACTGATAAAATATTTTTAATGGATTATGTTTGTATAAAAAAAACCATGTAAAATGTAATTGATTACTTGCTAAATGTGATCAATTACATTTGTGCATATGTAATGGTTAGAAGTGAAATCTTTTGTTGCAACCAATCACAACGCGTGGTAATTGATTACAGTTACACATTATATGTTTCTAGAAATTTCATATTGCAAACATAAGCAATGTTATTGATAACATAGAGATTTAACTACATGTGTCCACTAATAAGAAACATCATGTATCAATCAAGTCAAGAATCTTGAAGCTTTTTCAAACCAATTACTCAATTCTTGTTTTACAAGAAACCAAAAAAAATTATATTGGAATAATTCACATAGGTTAATTCGTTTCTTATATTATTGTTATAGAAATCAAGGATTGATTTCTAGGTAAAGGTTGTATTCCATATGTGAAAAGTGTAATCTTGGAATATGGACTTCCAAGTGTACAAGTTATGGAAACGGCTTTTCTAATTGTAATCTTGGCCAAAGGTTTCTATTAAAAGGTAACAAGAATGCTTATGATGTAGGTTTGATCCGACTAGATTAGGTCGTTCCAATTTCAAAATTAACTGTTTACGTGTGTAAGCAGAACGGGTCGTTCTACTTCTAGAACGGGTCGTTCTAGTTCCAAGATTCGCGCAATCTGAACCACAAATTAAAAAAAAATTAAAAATTACTCAGAATTCAGTTCTCCGGGAACCGAATTCTGATCACAAAAAAAAAATTAAAATTGAAGCTCAGAATTTAGTTATCCGGGAACCGAATTCTGAATGTGAACAGTAAATGGTGCTAGGTATGTAAATAAAGTGTAACAGGTGCATTTTTAGTAATTTTTTTTAAAAAAAATTCCAGTTGCGTAAAAAATTCCCAAATTGCTGATTTTGCCGTTACAACATTTCTAGATTCCCTACTACATTGCAATCATTCACTGTTCCTGAATCCTAGTACTTTGTATCTTTTGTAGTTTTTAATATAAATTCTTGTATGGAATAACAAGTTTACTTTGGTATGTGACTGAGAATGCTTATTGAACAAAGTCTGATATGTATAGTTATGGAGTGGTTTTGCTATAGCTGGTAGTAAGGTGTTAGATGATCCTTCATTTATGAAAAAAAAAAAGCAAATACTGTGGGGTGGGTTAAATATATCTGGGAAAAAACATGAGCATTGATGGAAAGAACAAATAGTGTTGAATGAAAAACATAACATTTTCTACATTACAGTATTACACCAATTAAATCTGACCCCAAGTTCATTTTCTGTTTTTTTTTTTTTTCATAAATATCTTTAATATTTGTTTAGGATTTTAGCTTGTATCAGTGTTAGCTAGGTTTATTATCGTTATAGATAAAGTAGAATTGGATTTGGTTTCTAGTGCGAGACCTTTAGCATTTAGACAATTAAGTTCCACGAAACATTAGGATGATCAAAAACTCCAATATAAAATTTTGAAGAAAAAAAAAAGTGTAACAAATGTTAAATGTTGAAAAGACATTTCCGAACATATTGTTTCCAACCATTATTATTTAGTAAAATTTATGTGAGTCTCACCTAAGGAAGAATGACTTGAGAACTCAATTATTGACCTATTTAAAGAGCTTAATTAGAAAATAAACCTTTAACTATACTTTTAATCAGTGTCCTACATTTTAAAAGATTACATCACAGAATTAAAAAGAGATTTCATCAAATCTTTAGAAGAAAAAAAGAAAAAGGAAACAAAACATAGTATATAAAGTAAATAAATGAGATTTAAACTTTATATGTAGAAAATAAAATCAAGTCCTTTAAGTCAAAATCTATCCTCGCCTATTTATATACTCCTAAATACAACACTACTTCTCATGTTCAACATTAGTGTTATTACACTCTAACACCATCTTATACAGAAAATATTATTATGAGTTCAAGACTACCAAATGTTCATAATCTCAATCAATTATTACATGATATGTATTTAAATTTTCTTACTTATAAGGAAATAATAATACACTTAATTACATCTTACTTTGGTTAGGAATCATGTGCTCTCGTATCTTCTAATAATTTTTCCATATTGGGGCAGAGTGTTGAGACTTAAAGAGTCTCAAGTGAATCAACAATTTAAATGACATTGAATTTGTAAACTTGAAGCATGTATTTTGGGTGCTTTTTGACATAATTGTTATATGTTATGGTCTTAGGCACAGTACAGTACAACTTGCATATTTTCTACAGAAATGTTACAAGATGTTAGTTAATTGTGATTATGAGGCAGTTTAGGGTAGTTAGTTGGTTCAAATTAGTTGGGCACGCTCTATCTGTATTTCTTCTACCACCGAAAATAGAAGTTTTTATCCTATGGGCACTTGAATCTGCACATGGTGGTTCTGGATCATAATGAATTCTTCATCCATGGTTACTTGCTTTGCCTCCGTCAAACTCATATCCTTAGTCTCGCTCTCTACATTACCATCTTCGGCAGCAGAATTCTCCTAAATGAGTGATGCAAGTAACACCCATTTGATATAGCCATAGATCATGAAGTTCAAAAAACAAAAGAGGGGTTCTATAGAAACAACTCATTGTGTTGATTAATATGAAAAAGATGATCATACAATAAAAGATTACATGTCAACTAATATAAACCAACTAACTAACTAACTAAACTAAACTAAACTATCTCAACAAACCACAATTAACTAACAACTAATAACACAGGGCTCATTGACAAACTAGTATAGACCATTAGACTTGGACGAAGAAACTGTACTCATGAACTCATTGTCTGATTCCAGCATATGCATGGTTTCAGGCAAAAGGCACACTTCCAAATCTATGCTTCCCCCTCCTTCATATCCTTGATAAGATGTAACTTTCCCATCAAATTTGAAGGCAGAACCACTTAGAACTGCCACCGCTTTCCCCATTCCAAACTCATTCCCATACATGTTGAACTTTGGTGAACTAGTGAACAACAAAGTGTACTGATCATAGCGCTCACCAGTTTGATACACAACAGGAGATTGTAACCACTCTTTGGCTGCTTGTTTAATTGTTTTATCATTATGGTTTGTAACAGCCATGTGGAATTTCCATGCTGCCCATCCTAGATCATGTTGATCCAATTCTTCTGCTGTTGCTCCTGCTTTCACACTTTGAACGCAGTTTCCAAAATACTCCTGAGGCAGTGGCGGTTCCATTCTTGTTCTGTTGTTTGCAACTAATAAGCAAGTGGTTCTCTCAGTGTATGGTACTCTACGTGCCCGAGTTATGCATCTCCAAACATGTGCTGCTAAGGATTGGAATGAGGAGATTTTGGTGGTACTTGATTCCATGTTGGCCTTTGATTTTAACTTGGCAATAGACTCTGCTGTGAAGTGGAAGATTCTCTGTCTCAGCTCAGCTGGTTCAAATCTTCTGATAAACTCATCATGATGTTTGAAGGGAAGGTTGATTGGAGGACTACAACCCTTTGGAAACCAACGATTGAGAACGGGTTTTCGCAAAATGGGAACATCAATAACATGTTCATGATGCCCTTGTGTTTGAAATTGAAATATCTCAGACCATGTGTTGAAGAAATTCCAAAAAGTAGTACCATCAGCAATGCTGTGGTTCATGGAACAACCTATGAAAACACCATCCACTAGCTCGGTGACTTGAATGGCCAACAATGGCATGGTGTGACCATCATGGTTCACTACATCTTTGTCATGGTCAAATAATGAGTGAACAATTTGTGGGGCATCAATAGGGGATAGGATGTCACATATGGTCATATCCAATGTTGAATACATAAAACTAGCTCCACAACTGTTTTTGCAATCAACGAAAACAACATAAGTAGGGGGCTCTTGGGTTTTTTGGGTCACAAAGCGACCAGCTAATGGATAGAAATGGTTAAGTGCAATTGAAAGGGAGTGCTTCATCTTATCCAACAAGTGTTGGATGAAATCTTGTTGATTAGTGGATACTGGGGGCTTCTTGAAGAGGAGGCCCTTTTGAATATAGTTCATAGACAACAATGTAATATCGCATGGTGTTAAATGGTAGATTTCGTTTGAGTCTTCAATGGGGCGCTGTGGCTTTATAAAGCATTCTGAAATGCGTTGAACAGATGGGGTACTCATCATTCAAATAGTCACAGACAGAATTCAAACTTGTGTTGCAGAGTGCTTCTGATTTTACTTGTTATGAATCTTCCAAAAATTCCAAAGGCTGCAAAATGGAAACAACCTTAAAAGGAAATGAAATATCAATTGAATATCACTTTGATTCACCAAAAATAAGCTGTGCTTGCAGTATTGGAAATTATCCCTAGATTCTGCCTATAAAAAAAATCCAAAGATTCTGAATAATGACCAAGATAGCACCTGCCTAAGAAATTAAACTTTTCTAGTAAGGGAACAAGTAACCAAATGAAACTATTACACCATGGATTAAAATTCATTGGCATGTCACAAGCCTGAAACAGTAATTCACACACTTTCACATAAAATTCAGATACATACTTCCATTCTGATTTTACTTGTTATGCATCTTTCATAAAATCCAAAGGCTGCAACATGGAAACAACGTTAAAAGGAAATGAAATATCAATTGAATGTAGTTTTGATTCACCAAAAATAAGTTTTTCTTGCAGTATTGGACATTATCCAAAGATCCTGCTTATGATAAAAATTATCCAACGACTCAGAATAATGACCAAGATAGCAATTGCCTAAGAAATTAAACTTTTTCAAAAGCACTTCTAGAAGAATAAAGTAAGAAAAAAATTAAAATAAGTTGTTCCATAAGTTAAAACTAATTTATGCACATATAATTTAAAAGAAAGATTTTGAAGTAGCTGATAGAAAAAGTTTCTACAAATTAGTTTATGCATAAGTCAATTATAACTTGTTAAGAAACTTATCTTATTTTTTCTTCCTATTTTTTTTTCCTAAACATACTTCTGAAAAAGTTTACTAAACATGCCCTTAAACTTCATGGACATGTCACGAGGCTGGAATAATAAATCACACACTTTCACATAAAACGGGAAAACCAACCCAACTGCAAGCAGAAGCTCAAAAACTAGTTTTAAAGAAGTCTCATTTTCAAGATTAACAATAATCATTCAAGCAAATTACTGGGAGGGAAGGGTAAATAATCCAACTATATGTTTTTTTTCATTCTTTCTACAAACCACAGTTTAGTAAAATCACTATCAGTAACAAAAGTCTCCTTGAAATTGCTACAGTCGCTTCGCAAATCACACTCCTGTATGTTTTCTCACAATATTTTATGAATAATTACTCATTAAAAAACAGTATTTTAAACATAAAATAAAATAACCTAAATATAAATTTGTATGTATCAACCATTTAAATCAAGAAGAAAAAGAGTTGGATGGTTTTTTGTTTTGGGTGCAGCAGTAAGATCAGTTGTGGCTATGATCTTTGTTTGAGTGGGTGCATAAGGCCTTAGAAGTATAGTATAAAACTATAAATAGAAATAATGATATATAATGCTGATTTATTATGACTTAAATCCAATGAGATTTGAGACAAACATTTAACATCGTAGATCTCAGTTATCTTCCAGCAACATTTATAAAATCAAGAGCAATAAGTACAAAGAAAGAGAATGAAACATACCTTTGTTGGAAGATGAGCTCCAATTTCTTTCTATCAGCTCTTGTGGCTGTTCGTGTTGGATGCTGACTATATCTGTCTTTATTTATATAAAACTATAGATGTGGACCGCGCCAGTTAAATAATTGAGATATTTAAATTTATATAATTAATAACTTTATTTAGCATATAATTTTATTATTTAATAGGTTAATTTCATATGTAACTTATTTTATCTAAAATCAAGTTTATTATTACAAGTTTTCTTAGTATTGAAACAATTTATAACAATAATTTAACATTTGATCATTTTTAACATAATATTCAACGTTATATTTCTTTTTATAATAGCATTTTAGATTATTTGGACACAACATTTATGCTATGTTTGGTAGAGGGGAAAAGATAAAGAGAAGAGAAGAAAAAGAAAATAGGTAAGAAACTAAAGTTGCTTGATAAATAGAAAGTAGAGGAGAAGTGAAAAGAAGATAATTTTTTTAATTAATTTTAATTAAATTAAATTTAAAAAAAACTAAATTGATAAAGTTTAACATAATAAATAAGGGATAAGGAGATAGACAATTTTTAGCAGATTTTTAATTATAAAAGGTGGACCAATTAGAAGAAGAGAGGTGAGTCTCAAAAGCACATACATAAAACCAAAACTCTCGGAAAAGTTTTGGCTACCGTTGTTTTTCTTTGATCTACCAAAGGGATAGCAATTTTAAATTGATATTGGGTTGCGGACTTGGTCCAATTTTAAGCGTTTCCTTAAGTAAAATATTGAGGTTATGGAGGTTTTCATTTTTTTCTTTCGTCACTTTTTTATCTTTGATGTATCACTTTCTATTCATATTTTTTTAGGAGGAGGGTTCAAACGACACCGGTGTAACTTTTACTAAGTGTTACACCATTTAATAACTTTATATTAAATGTGAATTTTGAAAATCCAACTGTTAGATTGAAAGTTCATATTCCTAAGATCATATATGTCAAATTTTATATTAATCTAAGATGATTTGATACTTCATTCTCATAAAATAATTGACGTAATATATAATTTCAAAATATATTAAAATATGAACACTTTGATTACCTTCAAGTTGTTGTTCAACTTTAACAAAATTTGACATATATGATCTTAGGAATATGAACTTTCAATCTAACAGTTGGATTTTCAAAATTCACATTTAATATAAAGTTATTAAACGGTGTAACACTTAGTAAAAGTTACACCGGTGTCGTTTGAACCCTCCTCTTTTTTTAGACATAGTATTGCATTGTATTACTCGATTTATTGTGCTTCTTTTAAGTTAATTTTTATTTTGTTTATATTTTATTTTTGTAAACATCAAATCGGGTACATGTAAGTGAAGATGACCAGGTCTTGTGCTAGTAATATTATAATTTAAAAAAAAAAAGTTATTATTTTGATCTATGTGTTCTCGACTAATAAGAGTACTTTGAACGTTACGTTGCAATGCAAGTTTTTTATAATTTCATTATTTCATTTTGTATAGCCCCAAACCAGCTACCATAATAACCCCAGATCATCCCCATTAGAGACCTCACAAAAGACCCTAATCAACCCCACACCTTAGTTAAATTAGCCACCTAACATATAAGTCCAAATAAATCCTCAAATTCAAGTACGCATTTCATTATATGCACCATTTCCAAATCATTAAATCATACAAAATTAACATATTAGCAATCCAAATTCAAAAGACAACACACCAGATGCCAAGAAACACAATGAATAACAAAAACTAGAATAAGAAAATGTGAAATGAAATCATCCTCAAATACTTAGAAGCTACAGTTGTAGTGGTTGGGAGTGGATGTAAGTAATTTATATAAGAAATTATTGCTTAACATAAACATCTTTTCATGGTTTTACTAACTTAAATAAGAACTCTCATAAAAATTGAACATTGGAGTAAAATTTTATTGAAATTCTTAAATATGATGTGGCACTGTAGGGTTCACAAAAATTGGTTTAATAAGAACTCTTTTAAGCACTCTGCGTTGAATCAAATTGCTCTTATAAGTTTGTTTCAACAATCACATCCTAAGATGTAGCATAAGTTAATATAATATTTTCTTTTTGTTGATAACAATAATTATAATTTGAAGAAGGCACTATTGATACAAAATATATAACTTACGACGCACTTGCCCCAATTAATCATGACCCACATAGAGAAAGATTTACATAATTAATGTTACAATTGTTTCAATTTTTTTTACAGGAATGCAAGTAATAAATAATCCCACAATACTTTAGAAATTATTTATATAAGAAATGCCTTCCACGATTCCATTTGAGATATTCTCATTTCGATCAGAATTATCATCAATACGTTCAACAATTTTCTTCACATCTTCATCAACAGTCAAGGTTGTGACAACAATCTCCTCCACTTGAACAAACCTAGTTGTGTTTCTGAGTGGCCGTTTATTCGTTTGTGGATCACTCCCATCGGTAGGGGTGTAAGCGGTTCGAGTATCTTGTGAACTCAAACTGATCCAAACCAATCTAATGAATTCAGATAGGATTTTTTCAATATTCGGATCATACACAATTCAATTCGATCAAAATTTAGTACTGTACGGGTTTGATAACAGATTTTGTATTTCGAATCCGTTACCGACCTAACCTGATCATATATAATAATAATAATAATAATAATAATAATAATAATAATAATAATAATAATAATAATAATAATAATAATAATAATAATAATAATAATAATAATGATAATAATAAATACTCACTAACTCTCTTACTTAGTAACAAGTTTTGTGTTTTAGGTTAATAACATTGTAACAATATAATATATCTATTTTAAATTTTATTTTGTATTAATTAATGTTGATTTTTTGAGTTGATAATAATGTAACATATTAATAAATTTATTTTAGAATTTAAGTTGAATCATTGTCTGCTTTATAGGTTGATAACATAGAATTTGTAACAATGTATCAAATGATTTACATCTATTTTAAAATATTTAAGTTCTTATAAATAAATAAATAAATATAATTATGTTAACCCGATTAATTTAACACAACTCAATCTGTTCGTGATTAAGTTAGGTTGGATTGGGTTTTTAAAAAAAGTTGTTCAAATTTATCGCAATCAAACCCATTAACTTTTGATCAGGTTGGATAACGGGTTTATCCAAACCCGATCCAACCCAACCCGCTTACACCCGTACTCTTTGGTGAAATTTGATCTTCGAGATTTCGTAGCACGCGTTCTAATAAATACACATGTCAATAATGGCAAATTTAAGAATCTAAGTTAGTAGGAATATTTTAAAAAAAATAAAAAATTAATAATTATCATAATATATATAAAGAATAAAACAAATTTTGAAAATGATTATTAATTATTAAGTTTAATATGTAAAATATTGGAATAAAATACAATATTTTTAAACATATATTAATAATTTAATTAAAGTGACAGGATATATCTATCTATTCTCACAATTACTACACCAAAATTTACTATTAAGGATAATTATTTAATACAATATATTAATTGTCTCTATTTTATTATCTAATAAAAATATTAATGACTAATAAATAATAGTTACTAAAAATATATTTATAAGAGTAGTTATTGAAAATGACCGATAAAAAAATGAGGATGACTTTTAATTCATTGTATTAGAAAAAATTCAAGTTTCATATTGACTAAAAATAAGACAATTAAAATACATAAATAGAGAACAACATTCATCTTACAAGCTGATTTTGTAGAGTTGAGATATATTTATAATTCACTATTCTAAGATGTTACCAGAGCTATCCTAGATTCACTAAAATGAATCACTCACCGTTGATACATGCACCAAGTTCAATAATGTTAGACGTGAGTGGGTGTAATGAAAAAAATTCAAATCTCATGTTGATTAAAGATATTATAATTAAAAAGTATATAAGTAGAAGACATAAAATCTAGGAATCATTTTCTTGAATTTTTAATGACAATAGTAAAAAGTTAGTAAATAGGTTAAATATTTAAAAACTAACATTAGTAATTATAATAAATGCTAGTAAAAAATGTCATAAAAATCGATATATTTTTTCTCAATCATTATAAAGATTTTTACTAACATGCAGAATAATTGTCGATAATTATTTTATCAACACTATATACAACAATTAATGTAAAAATGTTGATAAAATATTTTATAACTATTTTTATTGTTACTAAAAATAATATTAAATGTCACTTAAAAATCTTTTTTGTTGTAGTTCGTCATTGCATGTGAAGCAACAAAAAAATAGTTAATTCATATCATTTATCCAACAAGTATATATATAAAAAGAATGATCCGACTAATAGTTGAAATATGAATGCAAACAACACAATTTAGAAGTTAAAAAATTCCCATGTTTCAAACACTTACATGGTCATCCTCTTAGGATTATGTGGCGAAGTCTTGTAATTTGACAATAGGAGCATTGACATGGGCATGGAGCTATCTGCAGCGAAAGCCATTGAGATTTCTTAGGATTGAGATGAAGCTTGTTTTGTATATAGCTCAGTCTTGGGTCTAGGTCGGGTGATTTATGGGCAATATTTAGAATAGAGAAAAACCTCCTTGTTAATTAATTAAATTCAACGTGTTACATATGCACATAGATAAAGTTAGTTGTGACCACTAGGGTTAGTCTAGTAGTTGAGTTTGAGGGGTTGGAGTAGTTAGAAGCATGAGGACTCAGGTTCAATCCTCATTGCGACTATCTTTGTAATCTTTCCTATCTTAAAAAAAAATAGATAAAGTTGATTGTAAACTTGTAATACATGTCTAATTTCTTTTTATCTAACTTTTTTTAAATTGGATTTAACTTATCTTGAATGATTCGCGTGGATAAGCTTGTCTAATGTCCTCCATGCACGCAATATTTTTCATAATTAGGAAAATAGTTAGTCAACAAGTTCCTCTAATTCCCTAATTAAAATGCATGTGCTGATCCAATTTGTCGCATTTTTAAAACGACAATATGATGTGATAGGTTTTTTTATATAAAAAAACTGGGTGATCAATCCCAAATTAAAAAGGCAGATTAAAATGTCA